GGGCAACAGGTTTAATATTTGGTGCATATTGGCATAAATTGTTATTAACTAGCAAATCCATCTTGGAAAGTGTCAGTGGTATGAGATCAGGGCTCCTAAATGAAAAAAAAATTAGGAGCAGTGTTTTTTTTAAGCAGTTCCTGCTCATTGCCACACTATTGCAGAGCCATAGAAAAGAGTTGCGACACCACACTTTTTTATATGGCTCTGGCCCATTGGTTGCAAATTTGCATAAAGTTTAGTGCATCGGGTATCGTTTTTTTTTCTCCCAATACCAGTCCCAATACTTTTAAAATGATACTGGTGCCTAAATGGTGCCTGAACCGATAAAGAAAAACTACATTACGAATGATGAAATTGGAAAAGGGGTTTGTTTTCTTCAAATGAAAAATATATTAACTGTTTAAACAATACTGTAAATATGAATATAAAACACTTTGGTTCAAACTTAACGTCAAACTATGAACATTATATGAACTGTTTACAGTTTAATTAGTGTTTACCATCTTTAAGAGCCAAAAGGGGTGTGTGTCTGTGTGTGTGTGTGTGTATATATATATATATATATATATATATATATATATATATATATATATATATATATATATATGTTCTTTTGAATTTGAAGAATAGTAAATTCATTATTTGATTTTAGATCTATGCTCATTGTGCAGGAACTAAAGATTTGTAACATATTGGAAAGCTTTTTCGTAGATTGACGCTCCTTGTTAGTCACCTTTTATTGACGTCATAATTGCAGGTGCAACACAGAAGAGCTGCATTAAGCACGAGAGCATATAGTTCTACTGTGTAATTTATTATTTGTTTATTTATTTAGTAAACACTTTGCTGCGTAAAAAAGACGAAAATAATCAGGCAATCCCCTGCCATTCGTGTGAGGAAGTGAAGTCACGTGTCTGCAGCTCAATGCGCAACATCACTGAAGGAACAACACTACATGCTCGGATTAATACTTCGGTGGGGGCACGGATTGTCCGACGGGACGGGAGAGGCCGGATGGGGGTCGGGGGGGACGCCCGCTCCGCCCGCTGGTGGGCGCGTGCTCACCTGGGTGAGTGCAGGTGTCTGCCTGTGTACTAGGGACCCTAATACAACACCCCAGTATGATTGAATGCAAAAAAGCATTTCAAACACGTATAATTAGTCTGCTGTCAAATATTTAACATAATAACGACATCTTATTCCAACAATTCAGTATATTAATATACGCACACATATATAAAACAATATGCAGAATATAACTACCATATAATAACTATTATAAATATACTACAATAAATAGCCCCACAAAACTTCATACACAATGAGTTATTTTGGATAAAATGTACATAATGGTTGTGTGTCCTCACCTCAGTCCTGTGTGCGGAAGTCCTCGAAGTCAGTTCAATCTTTGCCTGCAGTGGCTAAAAAAAACCCACACAAAATCTCAGTTTTTTGAAGAATTGGCAGTTCTGATGATCATTTAGTGAATTTACATTGATTTAACTAAAGCTGAAACAACAGAAACTGTCTCTTAGCTGTAAAATACAAAAGAATATATAACCGAATATATATATATATATATATATACAGATTAATCACACTGAACTGCATTGCGTTCCACGTGCCTAGGAGGACGACATAGTATTGGTGCTAGCTAACGTTAGCTAAAACGGACATCAATACAGACAATAAAACATGATCAAACATATCACTAACTTAATAAAAGCATGGCAAGTTTAGACAAATACCACTAACATCCAAAATAATAAAGCTAGCCACACCATGCATGTATATTTAAAGTAAAGTAATTAAACATTGACCACAGACACTCGTAAACACGTTACCTCATGGCAAATCCTCAATTGCGCATTGGATTACCCACAATCCTTCTGCTTCTTCTTTGTTTTATGGCGGTAGGCAAACAACTTTAGGGTGCATTTCCACTACCTACTGAATATGAGTGTGGATCTGGACAATTCTACATTCTGTAAAATAATCCTGTCATTTTCAAAAAATAAACACATTTTAAACAAACTTCTCCAGAGTTTCTTTGTAAAATATCAGATATCTTTAGAGCTATCTTTACTACTGCCACACTCACATTGACCATTAGGATGTTTGTTCATTAGTACTAATCTGTTGTTCAATACAGTATGTGCAAGGTACGTATGACCTCTAAGTGCCAACTGATCTCTTCTAATATGCAAAGGCATTTCTACCATCTCCACTTGGAGTGCTGCCACTGGAGTACTTTTTATAGCTCCACAACCCCAATGCTTTACTCTGGATTACATCCAACTTCTTTAAGTGGGTTATTGCTGCAGACCTATAAATTATACAACCATAGTCTAGTATTGATCTAATTAGGTTAGTGTAGATTGTTCTCATCGCAGATCAATTTGCTCCCCAATCCAGCCCTCTCAAACACCTCATCACATTCATCATTTTCTTGCATTTGTGTATCATCTTATTTATATGGACTGACCAAGTTAGTCTTTTATCAAACCACATGCCCAGGTATTTAAACTGATCAACTCTTTCCAACTCTATATCAGAAATTAAAATGTTTAAATCTTGAGGAATACTTCTCTTTGACAAGAATACAGTTTTTGTCTTTTCAATTGACATTCTAAAACCCCACTCTGGAGACCATCTTTTGACTTCGCTCACTGCTTGCTGCATTTTGCACACAATATAGTTAAGGTTCCGCCCCCTTTTCCACATAGCGCCATCATCTGCAAACAGCGCTACCTTTATTGGTCCTTCCATATTTTTAAAAACATTATTAATCATGACCAAAAATAACACTGGACTAATAATACTGCCTTGCGGCGTACCATTTTCTACTGTATACTCATTACTAAAAGCATCATTAATTCTTACCACTAGTAAGAAAATTATTTATCCATTGAAGCATTCTACCTTTAACTCCCATCAGATGGAGCTTTATAAGAAGGTCCTCCCTCCACACCATCTCATAGGCCTTCTCAATATCAAAAAATATGAAAAAAAATAATTGACTCCTTATTTACCTGCACCTTTCTAAGAGAGTCTTCCCACAATCCTTTACGTCTTTTGGTCCGTTTAGGTACCGGTATGTTTCAATGGAGCTTTAGTGTTAATGCCTCATTAGTTAGTTTTCAGCTTTTTAATTTTTAGTAAAGTATCTAGATGATGATAGGAATGCTCTTTAAGTTTTATGTTTGGCGTGGTACTGTACGCATAGAACGGGGTTCATGTTTTTATCTGGCGTTCAAAAGCATAATTTCTGAGTGCCCCTGAACGCAACATCGCAGCTCGCTAATTTGTCCTGAAGTCTTCTCTAGTAAGTAGCGTTGAGCACCTCTGCTCACGGCTCATTATTTGGATGGTTTAGATTAAGTTTTAGCATTTTAAAATGGCATCATAATGTTTCTGTAACTCATGCCAAACATAAACATAAAAAGAGAAAAGTAAATCCCCCCTGTATGGCATAAGCACGAACCCGTGACTATCACTAGCATAGCAGCTAACGTGGACTTCCCCTTTTCTCTGTAAAAGTGTGTTGTATGGTTATAAAGGGATTAATCAGCTAATTAGGTCGCTAGCTAACACATTTGTCAGTTACCATGTCTTAGTTTTAGTGTCAGTCAAGCTTTCGCGTTAGCTTAATCCCGTTAGCATAATGCTATTGCAGTTAGATTTCTGTGCGGTTAGCCAACGTTACCCGTCTGTACGGTTAGCCAACGTTAGCAAATTTCAATGCATTTTTGAAACGCTGTTAATGTTGGGTTTAGTAATGCCAATTAACAAATTAATTATGACGGGCAAATTACTTTGTGTTTTAGCTCACTACTTAGATAGCTAAGTTACTAGTTATCCATTCGTAACTAGTCGTATATTTCGTCCAGAATATTCCACACTTCCATTCATGTCGGAATTTTAAATGAGGGACCAACCAATTTCAATGCATTTATGAAACCTCTAAAACCAAATCATTGTTTTCATTAACTCAACTAACTTAAATCAAGCTGAGAAATGTTAAAATGCATATTTTATTATTTATATATAAATATAATATATTTATTAATAATCCAACATCAGCATAAAAAGCTCTAGTAGCCTGCTAGGCGCTGGCTGAGGCTAACCATTGACTTGAGTAAGAACAAGCTAATTTATGTCATGTGGGTGCTTGTCTAAGGCATGTCTGTTTTTTATCTGTCTTTATTTATTTTTATTTCTTTATTGTATACATATTTATTTTATGTATGACTGAGATTGACTTTAATCTGGGTTGTCATGTTATATCAGCAATATTTAACTGCAGTAATCTACTTCTGTAATTACTTTTTTTTAAAACGCTGCAACGATAAACTACACGTTTATCTTATTGTTTCCTCTCCTAGAAGAACATCGTTCATCTCCTCTGTGGTTGGTAAGTATCGTAATATTGTACCTGAAATTGATAACAGGCCACATAACTGACCTCTTAACTGACATTAAGTTCCCACATGAGTCAAAACACATAGTAAAGTTGAAGCGAAACACTGATGCCCAAGACCGACCGTGATTGTGGAAGTGACATGGACTGTCAAAACAATCCTGTGACAGTGTATTGATGTAATACTAGCCTCTTACTGTTTTAATGTCTATATCTGGAGATATTTCACAGGCAGGAACCAAGTACTTAACTCAACTTTTAACATAATAATAAAAGCCTGCTAACATTTTTTTTGTCAAAAGCATCCCATCATTTGTTAAAACACATATTTTATTCTGAAATATTTTCAGTATGGTGTAGGAAAATGCAACACCTTTGAAAAAAGTACCGGCCTTTAATTTTAGATTATTTTTTCTATTTATTAATAGTTTAATGTTAATACGAATGTATAATATATTATACTGTTTAATTATAAGAGAACAATTAGAAAGAAGTCCTGGCAGCAGCAACAACACTGTGTGAAAACTACTTGTGTGAGAAACACATGCAATGTGGTCCAGCCGTGTCTAATCCAGCCTAATTAATAAATGCATTTAAGAACAACTTTTAAATAATAATAACCTTCAATGATCTTTAAGCTTACAGTAGAGGTTGTAACAATAGGAACTATAGGTAGGAACCATTGTTTAGTTCCGTGAGTCACACGGACTGTTATTGGAGAAACACTGTCTTGTAACCGAACCGAGCAAGATGGACCGTACACGCGACGTGGAAGTTTATTAAAGTTTACAACCCAGTGAGGTGAGACCTGGAAGAGTGTGCTCGTGTTTATGATTAAGTACCGCGTTATAACAGTGTGGCAGCGGAAGAGGACTCGGTCTGAGTGCGTACTAGTTTTCTCCGGTCTGAAGAGAGTTAACCGCTGCTAGGTTGAGCCGCTAGCGTGCGACTGCTGTGTGCCGTGTGATTCCATGGAGGGACTTAAGCCGCCACAGACGTTGTGGAGGGATGAGTTTGTCCTGTATGTGGATCTGACAATGGCTGAAGCTGACGATAAACAGAAGGTAAAACTGTTCAGCTATCTTGTCGGCGAGAGTGGCAGAGAACTTTTGGATACCCTGATGGGCGACACAGCTAGGGATGCATGGAAGATAGAGGACATCATCACAAAGTTTGATGATCATTGCAACCGCAGCGTGAAAGAGATTGTCGAACGCTATTGTTTCTTCACGAGAAATCAGGGCGCCAGTGAAAATATAGACAGTTATGTCACTGAACTGAGACTGCTGGCCAAAACATGCCACTTTCATTGCATGAAAAGTGAGATTTTCGTCCCCGTAAACGCCCGGAAATCTCCCTAATTTCCGACTGTTTCCGACAATTTGCAACCCGCGCACGTCGCGTTTGTCTGTGCCACAAATTGTCGGAAACGAACCATGACGCAGGCAGAGAGCTGGCGGAGGTGGGAATGGCCCTAATTAGCATATGAATGCAGCAAAACCGCGGGTGGCCGAGCCGAGCGGGCTTGAATATCCTTACTCCTTATTGGATAAAACCACAACTTACTAACAAGTATAATCACTCGTGATTGGCAGCAAAACCACACCTGGGCAGACCAGGCATGAGTTTCCTTGTTCATGATTGGATGAAACCACAACTTTCAATCACTCGTGATTAGTTAGCAGATTTGTCGCTATTGGTCACCCGCCTCATTTTATTTATATATTCATTATATGCTGTATATTCATTTCATTGTTATCCTATGTAGGCTACTACACTATTATTAGGATACCATCCAGGACATCAATGAATTTATAGAGAAAATGAACATTTTGTTAGGGGGGTGGGGTGTATTTGGTGGACCCAAAAGCACACGCACAGCAGCCTTGGATTTTCAGCCAAAATGACTTTATTTGTCACAAAAAACAAACAAGGGGAATACGGGAAACAGAAAGCGCTCCTCTGGCTCAACTGGAGTCGGGAGGGAAACTCCACCGACGTCTGGCGGTCTGGGGTGGCTCAAGCAGGGTCTGGTGTGGAAACCCGAGGCCCGACACCATACTCACAGTCCAACTCAAAAGCAGGTTACGTGCACTCTGTGGTACTCCGTGGGTCTGACACAAAAACAAACCAAAACATGAATAAACTGGTTTAGCTGCTGTATCTCAGTATCAACGGACTGACGACGAGCCTCTGAAAGCAGGAGCCTTCATGCTCGTCACCAGTGATCCCCGGAATGAGCCACAGCTGGGCACGTGGGAGAGGGGTGGGGCCGGAGGCGGAACACACAGGTGGAAACTATAGGTGGAAAAACCAAACAAGCAAAAACAAAAGCTCAGACTGGGGGAAAAACTGTTAATAAAACCGGGTCCCTAACACATTTGCCACATGTTTATGCAAAGAAAGAGCTTTATTAACAACATACAAACAACAACTACATACAAAGTGAGGATCTGCCCACACTTGGGTAAAGGCGGTTTAAAAAACTACAGCTCAGTAAACTGTCCGTTTGCCTCCTCGGGGTTGTAGACCGTCACTGGCGGCGTGTTTTCCGAGGCAGGTGTGTTGTGCAGGCGCCTCGTGTCTGTGTGGCTCTGTTTTTCTGAGTCGTCTCTAACCGGGACTGCACCGTACAATCCAACCCGAGACCCCGCCAACAACGCCATCCTCTCCGTCCGACGTGAGCTCTACGGTGGCGGATTTCCAGAGTTCCACCTCGTCATCAGCCAGCACACTTTTTCTCGATTCCAGCAGCTGTAAAAACAACAATGAATCAGTACTGTGCGATGCGTACGGACACAACACATCTATCAATGCACCTGAAAAAAGTCAGCAAATAAACTCTGACCCTCTTTCTTCTCGCTCGACTCCGCGCTGAATCCTTCGCAGCTTCCGCCCGCAATGAGTGTTCCGGCTGAACCTGAAGCTCCTGCGTACGTCTCAAAATACGTCTTACAGGCGGCTGGAAAACAATTAAATGAGTGTGGTATGAATTAAAAAAAATCAAAGTCACAGTAACATTTAACAAGGAAGGAGAAACCGTAAACAGTGTCACTTACAATGACGTCGTCTAAATCTGGACTTTTCCCGGAGCAAATACGAGGTCACCGCCTCATGAGGCGAGATTAGTCTGTGAAAACAAACCTATTTCCGTTATCACAACCCTGTCTATTGTGTCATGTCTTCAGATGCGGGGGGTGGAAGGTCCTCTACGCCAGTTTAGGGCCAATAGAAATCTTTCCTTCTCTTGTCTTTCAAGGGTTATAAAACATGATGTTCTTGCTGATGTTAGTTAGTTGTTCTTCTGCTGCTCTTGCCTTTGCAAACGCAGCGCTGATACTTGACCTGTGATCTGACGAATTATCTCCCAGAACGAGAGAAGTTGTTTGGCTGAATTTTTGATAACCCCGACCAGGCTCCAATTCTTGAACACGTATTCTTACACCAACAGGGGTTGTCATGTCAGGTAAGACCAAAATCTACTGAGAATCATGTACTTTTTTTTAACAATACCACATTGTTGTTGGTCTGGGATTATGTAATCGTCAATGTAAAGAAAACTGAATCATCTGGTCAAACTAGTTGTTGCACTGTAATAAGATCTGTAATGTAATCAGGGCATGAGGGTGGTACTTGACATGGCTGAAGGACATAACATTACATGTGATAATTTTTTCACATCGTATGCGCTGTGTGAAGAACTGCTGAAAAGGAAGGTTACCATGTTGGGGACAGTGAGAAAAAACAAGCCGGAGCTTCCCACTGAGCTGCTTGTGATGAAGAACAGGGCGGTAACATCTTCAATGTTTGCCTTCACTGACAGAGCCACTGTCGTCTCCTATTGCCCCAAGAAATGGAAAAATGTCCTGCTGATGAGCACCATGCACAAAGATGCTGTCCTGAGCACCAGAGAAGACAGAAAACCACATATGGTCTTGGACTACAACAAGACAAAGGGAGGGGTAGATAACCTGGACAAGGTCACAGCCACATACAGCTGCCGACGCATGACTGCCCGTTGGCCCCTTGTAATTTTCTTCAACAGCATTGATGTGAGCGCCTACAATGCCTTTGTAATATGGAGTGAGATAAACAAGGATTGGAACAGCGGAACACTGACTCGAAGGAGGATTTTCCTGGAGAAGCTGGGTTACGCGTTGGTGAAATCTCATATCGAGAGAAGACAGTGCCTTCCAAGAGCATCAACTGCTGCTGCAACTGTTGTGAAGGACATCCATACAGAGGCACACTGTGCAGCTCCTCCAGTGGTTCAAACTACAGGCAGGAAACGTGGTAGGTGCCAGGTCTGTCCAAACAGAAAGGACTCCAAGACCAGCAACACCTGTGTGAAATGCAAGAAATACATCTGCAAGGAACATACGTGCACTCTCTGCACATCATGTGTACAGTAGTGCAGACCAAAGGCTGGAATGTACCTTCTGGTGGCCTGAAGGAAAGATAATATGCTGTTCATATTCTGTCAAACTAATTTTAGTGACTTGTTTTTTTCACTATCTCATGCAAAATATTTGCATACATAGCACTTAGTGTAGCATAGACCAATCTCAAATGTACTTTAATATTTGTGGAAATAAATACCTGTTATGTGTTCCTTAGTGATGTTCTGATGATGATATTCTGTTTTACAAATAAAATCCTTCTAAATTTCTGAAATTGTGTGTTTTTCCTGGGGTCAAGTTGACCCCGAACATAATCCATGTTACTATTCTTGATAACAGAAATTGTTTTTCATTCCAAATAATATAGATATAAACATGTACTTAGACATAATATAAAGCCATTAAAACACCAAAAATATATCTCTTTCCAATTTTAGGTCAATCAGTGAGATTTTAATGGTGCTCTGCATATTTTGCCATAGTCGCGAATATTCTGGATGTATCGAGGGGGGGGGAGGGGGTATTTTCATTTATTTAAAGGGCTATTTAGGTAGTCAACAAACAAAGTACCTGACACTCAAACTTGGGAAACAATATTAACTCTAATAATTTTCTGAAGGTTTAAGTTGTTGGGGTCAAATTGACCCCAAGGGTAAAAGATTTAAGTAAATTTGAAGGTAATAGGAGGGTTAAAAAGACTCCGGTAAAAGTTGAAGTATCAACTTAACCTCTTTACTCAAGTAAAAGTAAAAAAGTACAGGCTCTAAAATCTACTTAAAGTATAAAAGTAAAAAGTAACCTTAATAAAAAAAACATTTAAAGCTAAACTAGTTGAACCTCATATACTTGACACGGCTGTAAGACATAGAAGCTTAATTAAAACCTGATTAGTGTTGCAAGGATCCCAAGACATGGTAAAAAATGTCATGCAAAAATATAATCATGCTGTCCACAAACATGTTTTTCTCAAACTTTATTGGAATTTAAATAGACCTCCAAACAGATAGTAATATTCAAGACATACCCTGGCCTGCAAAACTACCAGGACATTACTAAGTAGTGTGCTAGTCAGTGTGTGTGTAGGAGATAAGTAGACTGCGAAGAATATCAGTGTGTGTGAGTAAGAGAGAGAAAGAAAGAAAGAGAGGGAGTGTGAGTGAGAAGTATGCTTGTCCATAATTTCCTTCAAAAACTGGGTGTTATGTCCAGCCCTGAGTATTAAGTTAAGTTGGCGGGCTATTTATAATTCTTCGGTTATGTGTTGTTATTGTTTACTCAACTCTCGTTTCAGACTCCTCACTCCCTCCCTCATGTGTGTGGGTTCCACCTGGGTGATTGTCAGCTCCTCCCTGATTGTTTGCACCTGGCCCTCATCACCCGGTGTATTTAGTCTGTGTGTTCCTGCCTCTGTTGCCAGTTCGTCTTTGATACACCATGTTCCTAGTGTTCCAGCATTTACTCCTGATAGCCTCCCTGTTACCGACCCCTGCCTGGTTAACGAGTTACGTCTCTGCCTTTTCCCTGCCGGATACCTTGCCTGGTGATCGACTGCCTGCCTGTGTACCGACCTTGGACCGGAACGTTTACGAACTTTGCACCTGCCTGCCTCCTGTCGGGTTCTTACACCCGTGTTTGTACTGCCATCCAACAGTAAAGTTGGTTAACTGCACCTTCTTGTGTCTCCGAGTCGTGCAATTGAATCCACACACTTGTCTGCACCCCTTACACTGGGCAGTAAAACTGGACATAAACTATTACACTACCAACACCATTGGTGTCACAGGAGCATTTTCGGTCAGGGGGTGTGAGAGTGAGTGTACGTCAGTATTTTGTGTTTGTGTAGGACAGAAAGAGTACAATGGCATACCCTAAACAATTACCAGAACCTTCTGTTTAGCCTCAAAAGAAGCTGATTTTCAAAGTTCTTGGAACCAATACGTGCCCCCCCTAGAAGTGCATCAATCAAAGGCCCACAGAACTTGGAGGAAATGCAGAACTGCTGAAGCTTAACCTTGAGTAGTGTTATTGTAGGAACCAACCACCCCATTTGCACATTTGTCTCTCCCTGAAGAACATCAAGGGCCTTTGCAACTGGTCTCATAGTCTTTGCATATTCTGCTCGGCAGGAGTGAACCTGTTAAAACAACAAATAAAAAACTAAAACATTTCATATTTACACCTTCAATTCAATAACAAACCAATTATAAAATGCTAATAATCTGTGCAGAGGGTTAGTAAATATACTGTTTTATAGCTTTTCAATTCAAAGTGAAAAAGTGAAAAAATATATAGTTCAGCTTTAAAAATGAAAAGGGGCAGGTACATACATGGGTATCTTTAGTGCACTGCAAACCGCTGCAATGGCCCCTTCTCCTTGTTCCCTTGCAATTCTCACAATCCTCTCCACTGCTACGAAGAGTGAGTTCCACCCTGTTGCATTTGGCCTCAAGAGCTGAAGTTTGCAAATCTCTTCAATGATATCAGCTGCTGTGGTGGGTTTTGAGCTTTTGTTCCAAAGACTCCAGCACTTTGAAAACGTTGAGCGTGAGACCCGCTTGTAGACTGTGCTCACATTTGCCTCCTCGACATCAACTGTTGACACCAAGTTGAGAAGGTGGCAAGCGCAACGATGGTGTTTTGGAAGCTGATATTCCAGGCAGTCGTCTTCATGCAATATGGCTCCAGCTTCAACAAACTCCACGCTCTCAGTGCTATCCTGGTCTTCTTTATCATTTTTATCACCATCATCATCATCATCTACTAGCTTTTAAGAAATTTGAGCCATTATCAGTTGTGGTGCGGGTAATCTTTTCACGGATGTTAAACTCAGTGTGGTCATCATTCGGAGCACTGCCAAGGGCAGAAAAATAATGTGACCCTTTAAGCTGTAAGCAGGCTAGGGCAGCAGAACATCTCTTTATAGTCTGGGGGTCTATCCAATGTGCTGTGACGCCTATGAATCCACGCCTGTACGCTGTCCAGCAATCAGTTGTAGTGGCAATTAACTTAAGTTCAGCTGGAGCAGTTTTCAGATTGTTTTTCATTTCCAGGGAAACTCTCTCAACTCGGTTTACAACAGTGTTGCGTGACATCACATTAATATTGGGCTGGAGATGTTGTACAAGATCTATGAAACCCTGTTGCTCAACCACATTAGGTGGGTGCAGGCCTTGTATGATAAAATGAAGGACTTCTTTATCAACACTGGCCTGGGACACTCTTCTGGTCTCCCATAACTTAGCTTGTTTGGGTGGGTGACCTTCATCTGGTGCTCCTGGCTTTCTTTTCAGGGCGTTTGAAGTAAGGGTCTTATATCTCACCAGATGAGTAGGGTGTTTTCTCTGTGAAAATAGGCATATTTAATCATTAGATCATTTAGAAGACACATTATCAAACCGCTATACAGTTTAGTATATCTGGCTCTATTTATACACCTATGCTATACGTTCGGCTGGCCACCTTAACTCACAACCCACGTTGAGTAAATCAGAGCTCTAAACTTTTCAAAAAAACCTTGGAGTGACATTTTGTCGGGGGTGACGCTACGGCCGACCGGGCGGACGATACAGTCAACGGGGGGAGGTTGAATAGGAACCATCGGAACTCGGTCCCCGTTTTTTTTTTACCGTGAGAAATTGAATGTGTGGCGTGAGACCGAAAGACCAAAATGAGGTGTCTGAGCCACCTATCTAATGTTATGCCACTGTAAGCTATTGTTGCACAGGTGTTCCGGTGTGGGGTCTTTTGTTGTGAAAAGGTGATAAAAATAAAGTTGCGGCCGGTTCGGTGCAGAACTGGAGCTCCGGGTTGTTTTTTTTTGTTATCGACACAAAGTATAGGCGCACCCGAACCACTCGGCTACATCGGTGGCAGCGGTGGGATGCTTTCCTTTGTTTATATGATTTAAATGACTATGTATTGTGTTTGATTGAAATTGCATTCACTTCATCCAACATGTTAATGTAATAATTAATCCAACAACATCTAACACTAAACATTATTACACGTACTATAATTTCCTGACTAGGGGTGCACTTCTGGCTTAAATCCCTAACAATTTCCAATTCTGTTTTTAATTCACTTGAGAGCACTTAAATTATGATGAATCAATTTAACTAACTTTCAGATTAATAAGTCATCCTTACTTGAACAATTAAATATACTGTCACGGTGTGGTTCACTTCATGTTATATTTTGTAGTTTTCTGCCACTCGTGTCCCCGGGTAACTTCACTTTCTGCCTTGTCTTGTCATCCCCTGTGATCGTCTAATAGTTTCCACCTGTGTCCAATCACCTGCACCTCACTAGTGTATTTAAGCCATATGTGTCACTTGTCGCGTCATTGTCTTTTGCCACGCATGTCCTTGTCTTTCGTCGTGGATCTTCGTAGTTCCTGTCTCCCGTTTTTCCCCTGGTTCCTGTGTGTTTTTGCCCCTTGGCTTTTTGCTTTAACCTTTTTGACAATTAAAGTCCCTTTTGTTTTTGAACTCCTGAGTCCTACCGTCCCGCAACCCCTGACATATACAAAGAGAACCGTTTTTACTTTGCCAGTTTTCATTTCCATGTGTACAGAGACTCTTTATTGACATTTTTATAATTGCTATGGTTTTTCCTCAATAAAATCGAGTGATCTATATTTTTGCATGTGCAGTATATTAGGCTGTTCTGTGTGTTAGTCTTGACATGCTAATACTAATTACTGTTTTAATTATTTTTGAATTGTTGATTCACAAAATTGTATTTAAAATAAATAAAATGTTTGTCATGAGATCACTGTCTGCTTTATACTCGATAGAACACTGAGACTACTACTGATTTTTACGACTACACCTGCTGCTGCTACAGTTACTATTGATATACAAATGATGCTACTACGACTGCTACTACTGCAGCCCTTGATACTAATACTGCTAATATTACTCCCTGAATGCTCAAATATGATGTTTTCCTGGTGTGCTGGTCTTGACTTTTTGGAATTAACACTTTTTCAGCAAAGCCATTGGCAATTTCAATATTTTCAGCAATTTAACAATTTCATCTTTGAGCTTGCTGGTACTTTGTCATTTCTATATCATGAGCATTTTTTAAAAATTCATTTCAGTTTTTCGGCTTGCTGGTACATCTTTATTTCTGGCAATTTTTCAAATTCATTTCAGCTTTTCTAATATCTGTAATTTCAGCAAATGTATTCATAAATGAATTCCCTTCAACTTTCTGTATTTTCAACTATTTTTAAAAATTCAGTTCAGCTTTTCAGCTTTTTTTTTTATTCAGCTTTCCCGGGAGGGGGACTATGACTTTTCAGCTTTCTAGCTCTTAAGCTTGAATTTATATAAATCAATAATCATGAATATTTCTTCTAATGGTTTTCCTATGGAGATCGTGTTCAAATCCTCTTAAACTTCTTCAACTTTCAGATTTTTCAGCTTCGCCAATCTTTCAGCTACAGACACCATTTTCAAATGTTGACACAAGTCTCAACTATTGAAACTATAAAAAAACTGCTTGTTGATATCAATTCTACTTTTTTCATAATCACTGATTATGTTTCACTAGGTCTTCGCTCCGTTTCTGAGTTTTACATGAGTGTGTATTGCGTTTCTTAGAGGGAGACCTCGAGGGCTAGAGTGTGGGGCAGCGTCAGAATCTGGTTAAAAAAATATGGAACTTCTGTCCTCAGAACCAAAGTATACACTTTTGAGGCTTAATTTCTTTGGATTAATGATGGCATGGTTGTGCTGATTGGATTAATGTGTTCATGGAATCCCAGAGTTCTTCAGTTTTGGCTTCCAGAGTGTTAAAGTGACACAACCTCTGCCAAAAGCCCCATAGGCTCCAATACAAATCTGCCGACATATTTCTCAAAAAATCCAGAAGGTACACGTTGTAAACTGCGACAGGAGCTGTATTTATTACCGGACAGACATAAAAAACGCATCCATGCGTTCGGTAGAGTCTTGGGTCTCGTAAAAACGTCGTATTTTTTAGATAGCTGTTATAGTTTTGCGCTGAATGTCATTTGTTTGAGGTGTGGATTCTGTGTAACTTGCTGTCCTGTCCCTGCCCTTTGCAGCAGCTCGTTAATGAGCCCAGGTGCACCGTTGCCGTGGTTACTCACGCACACGCTGCAGTATCTCTCCTATTACCTGATTAGTGGAGTCACATGACGCAGCTATGCTATGCTTTTTCAACAGACCATTATGATAAAGATACTAGCCCCCCCTCCACCCTGACTTCTTCTCACTGTTAATCACTCACTCAGTCAGTCTAGACTGTCTATTTCTCCTCCTCTCTCTCCCTCTATCTCTCCTCACCACCCCTCTCTTCCTCACCCCCCCACCCCACCCAATCCAATAATTTCAAAACAAAAGCCCCATGGAGGGAATTTTTAATGTAATGTTTGTGATGAGGCACTATCCATTAATCTCAGCTTTTTCACCCCCCTCTGCCCCCTCCTTCTCAACTCTGCCTCCCCCCCAGAAGAGATGCCTTCTCCATTCCTCAACCCCCCCTTTCTAACCCTTTTCTTTCCCCCAGCCCCCCTCAAAAAATGTCCTTTCCCGTCCCCAGTATTTTGAAGATGTGATTGTATAAAAATGTATGTAATATGAATGCCTGTTCAAATAAACAAATGCAAAAGTTGAGTTTTACTTTAAATATTACAAATTT